CACAACAGACTTCTCAGCACAATCCATCAAATCAAGAAGAGCTTGGGCTGAAGTATTCCAAGTCCTAAAAGAAAATAACCTGCAACCCAAATTGATGTACCCTGAAAAAATATCTTTCAAAACTAATGGAGAAACAAGATACTTTCATGACAAAGAACAACTGGAGGAATTCATGACCACCAAACCAACCCTACAAAAAATACTGAAGGACATTCTAGAGAGAGAGAAAAAAGACCACAGTTTCAGGAACAGTGGCAGAGAGGGCTCACTGAATGGGGCAGCCAGTGGAATGAATGGGAAAAGTAGGCAACCAACTGCAGAAAAATAGCAGGGCAGACATGAGGCAGATAAAGTTGTCCATAATCACTAATATAGATGGCCTCAGTTCACCAATAAAAAGAAACACAGGCAGACTGGATCAGGAGGCAGGGTCCATCAGTATGCTTTATACAATAAATACATTTAACCCAAAAGGGGGTTTATAGATGGAAAGTCAAAGATGAGAAAACAATGCTCTATGTGACAGGGAACCAGAAGTGGGGGTAGCTTGCTCATCAGCTGCAGACTGGTTAGAAAGCCCAATGGAAAACTACTCAGCTATAAAGATAACCTTGAGGCTCTTGTAGATAAATGGATTCAATTTGAGATCATGCTGAGGGGTAAAAAGGCTCTGAGTCACATAAGTGAATAGCATGTTGCCTCCCTAGTATGAAAACTAAAGGAGTTAGTGGGATCCAAAATGTACACTACATCCTGTGGAAAGTGAAAGAGGAGGAAGTGTCTAAAAAGGGAAGGCAGTAGCCATTGTTAATCTATTATCATGATTTGAAACCCATATAGTTTTTTTTTTTAATTTTATTTAAGGAGAAAAGAAAAAAAAAGCAGGGAAAGGGTACAAGTTATACAGATTTACAGAAAAAAAAATGAACAGTAGGAAATCACTAGTTAATGGATTACATATTGTCATCTTAGAAATAATTGTTCAAGTCACAAAATTAAAGCTTGTAAAGTGGACATTCCATCAATGATACTGCAAACAGTTCTGTTCATTGATCCAATAAAACTCTGTGATATCATTTTCTATCTTATACACTTAAATATACATGCAGTTATATAGTTTGGAGCACTTTCTTTTCCTCTCTTTTGTACAATGACTATTACACATTTTGGGTTTCATTGCTCCCACGGTTCTTATTACTTTTTTGGAAGAGAGTAAAACCAAATGTGACATAACAGAACAGAATCGGTCAAGTCAAAAGGGTGGACATAATAGATAATATAAAAACATAATACAAGATGATCAACAATGGTTACCATAATGCCTCCCGCTATCTCTAATAGAATTGCCTATATCGTTAGTTATAATACAATTGAACAAAACAGTAAAGAACAAAACCGACAAAACCAAAACATTGGAGACATTGTAGGTCTTCAAAAGTAGATAAAAGTCAACAAGAATGGGCGTCATAATGAATCTCATTATCTTCACAGCTGATGCCTAAACTTTCGAACCTGATACTATCCAGCAAAACAGAATAGGGGAACATCAGTTAAAAACCAGATGGTGAGAGTAATACAGGGCTTTAAATCAAGGTAATGAAAAGTCAAAGTGGGTTACTATAATATATCCTGCTATTTTTTCCCTTTAATTAAAAGGATAAAGATAAAAAAGTAAATAATGGAGTGGAGATTGAGATAAAAGAGGGCATAACAACGAAACAGCGCAGATCAAAACATAACCATTTAAGCAGAATAGTGTTTCACCACCAGATAATCCTAACCTAAAAGTAGTTACCATATTGTCTCTTTCTTTGAAATCCTTGAGTACAACTTCGTATACTGTAGCATTAAGTATATCAAAACAATGTAAAACCATTCAAGAGAATGACAGCATTACAGAGTATTTAGAATCGACTAACAAAAAATGAATAATGGTTTCTGTATAATCTCCTTGTCTTTACAAGGTTTTTGCTTATACTATCATACATAATAAAATCCAGTAAGATACAACCTATTTAGACCATTGGAGACAGAAGGACAAAAGCTAGATGAGACTTCAAAACAAGATGATACGAAATCAGTATTACCTATTAAGATGTCATTTTCTCCAAAATAGCTGTTCCTATCATCCAATCTTCTCTGCCTCATTTCTGTTAAGCTCTTTTTCTGTCAGTAGCTGTCAGTTTGTCTTCTTCATTTTGTTCTCTGCTCCATTTGTTGTGGCCTCCCCGCCACTATTTCTGGGTTCTTTGTATTTTTCTTTTTTTAGAATATCCTGCAATACTTTCTGTAGAGTTGAATTGGTGGTTGCAAATTCCCCCAGTTCCTCTTTATCCTGGAAGCACCTTGTTTTTCCATCAATTTCCAGGGACAGTTGTGCAGGATATCTCAATCTTGGCTGGAGATTATTATCTTTCAATGCTTGAATTATTTCCCCCCACGCTCTTCGTGATTTGATGGTTTGTGCCGAGAAATCTGCTGTAATTCTGATGGGTGTTCCCTTGTAAGTGGTCTGTTTCTTGTCTCTTACAGCTTTTAATATTCTGTTCTTGTATTGAATTTCTGGAATTTTGATTATTATATGCCTGGGTGTTGCTCTGTTTGGGTTGTAGGTAGCTGGGGTCCTGTATGCCTCATACATCTGAGTATCTTTACCTTTTGCTAAATTAGGAAAATTCTCCTGGATTATTTCTGTGAGTAGCTTTTGTAGTTCACTTGTTTGTGTCCCTACTTCTTCTTTTATGTTCTTAATCCTTAAGTTATGGATCCTCTTATCATCTTCTTGTCTTTGTATTATTGCTGTTTGTTTCTTTGTTATTTTTAAGAAGTTTTTCATTTCATTCTCCCATATTACAAGTCTGCCCTCCAGTTCAGATAGTCTGTCCTTAGTTTCTTTCAAGCTGTTATGCCAGTCTTCTATAGACTTCTTAGTATCTTGGTAATCCCTTTGAACATGCTTCACGTATTCTATGCTTTCTCTGTTTTCTCCATCAAACAATTCTCCCCTTTTTTTCTGTTCTTCCATTCCACCGCCTGTTTTTTCTTGGGTGGTACTTAGCATTTCTCTAACTATTCTGCATACTTCTAGCTTCAGGTCGTTGATAACTTCATTCCTGAATTGGTCTATGAGGCTCTCTATATGGTGCCTTATGTATATTGGTGCGGTGTCTGCTATTGCCTGTTTCTCAGAATTGGGGGCCGAGGAGCCTTTCTTGTTGCTGCCTCTTCCCATGCTGCCTCTTCTTCTCTGTTCCTTATATATGCAAGCTTATATAAGAGGCCCAGCTTCTCTCCCAGTCAGCTACAGCCTGATCGAATTGCGCCAGTTAGGTGTTCCCGCTCACCGCTGCGCACCAGGGAGTTACGGACCAGGCAGCCTACGCGTCTCCCCTCCCGGCCACCGTCAGGCTCTGGGATCTGGGTTGGGACAGTCTACCAGGTCCGCCGGCAGCGTCATGCAGGCCAGGCACTTTTCACCAATCCCGCCCAAGAGGGGGATGTGTGGCTGGAGTCGCCACCGCGCCCTGCTCCCGCAGGACTGCCCGAGCCCAGAAAGTCCTCCGCTGGAGTCAAACTGTGGTAGAGTGTCAGCTTCTCTCACTCACCTCACCACAAGTCAGTGCACGCCTCCCTGCCGTTCACAGATTGCCGTTCTCAGAGCTTCTGCGTGTCTCTCTCCTTGCCGAGCCACTGTAGAGGCAGCCAGCCGCTGCGCGGCGGGAAACTCAAATCCCAGCTTACAATGGCGGGGTTCCAGCCTCCACACCGAGGCTTTTCTGTTCCTGTTTTAGCACCAGGAATGCATTCCAAGTTGGTTTCTCTCAGCCCAGTTCATTTCTGAGTCAGCAGAGCATATCTCCACCTGCTTATGTCTCCTTAGTCCGCACCATTCCTGGCTTCTGAGCCGAGTCTTTCAGAGAGCCTCCGGTAGTTGCTGTTATCTGTCCGCCATGTTCTCCCGGAAGTAAACCCATATAGTTTTAACTGTTCTCTTTGGTTTTGTTTTGTTTCAATTCATCTAATTGTATTAGATTTGATGGCATGGACAGCTATTCCACGGATAGCAGGATAGATTATGGTAACCGTTTTTTATTTCCTATTAGGTTGATTTGAATCCCTGCTTTGCTCTCATTGTTTTGTGTGGACTGATTTTATTCTATTCTGTTTTGTTTGATAGTATCAAGTCTGACAGTATAGGCAACTACTTTGAAGACAATAAGATGCATTAAGATACCTATTGAGGTTTTTATTATTATCTTCTTTTGAAGTCCTATAATGTCTCCATTGTTTTGTTTTTATTGGTTTTGTTCTGTACCATTTTCTTTGACTTTATTATGCCTGATGACATGGGCAATACTTTTGAAGATAACAAGAGATATTATGGTAGCCATTATTGATCTCCTTGTATTTTGTTTTTAAGTCATGTACCATGTTCATCCTTTTGTTTTCATTGACCCTATTTTGCTTTATCTCATTTGGTTATATTCTCTTCAAAATTTAAAAAAAAAAAAAAAAAGATCCTGTGTTCCACTCCAGACACAAAAGCAAAATGGAACAAAATGAAACAAAAACCCACATGTACTTCAAAATAACATGTACCAGGATCCATGCTGCTTGCTTATAAATACAAAACCCTGCTAATTTGCTATTATGATTTTTCACATCTACAGAAGATTAAATCAAGGCTCAAAAAGGTTGTCATTTTACAAAGGTGAAAAAGGAAGAGGACAGCAACTAGACCTCGCCCTTCCCCGTGTGTCTTTTCCACTGGAAGCTAACACGCTTTGCTCTCTGGGAAGTCTAAATTCCATTTCGGCTTCAGATTGCTGAGGCTGAGACATCTGTGCTGCTTGTGACTGAAAAACCAGAATTCCCTGCTGTTGGTCCCAGAGACTTTAGCAAACCCTTTTCTTAAAGCACCACAGCTACCTGAGGTCTACAGCTGAGTCTAGATGCTGCCTCCCCGTACTGGGCTTTTCCTGATGAACCCACAAGGGCCATTTCTCATTTTTAAATGGTCTTTATTAGTACGTGTTTGCCATACATAATGATCCTAACTGTGATGAAGATGATCTGAAGTTAGTGTTTCTCTCACTACTGTAGAGCTTCAATGCAAACAAATATTCAGATACTCAAGGATCAGGAACAAAACCAGGGACAGGCTGGGTAAATTTTCCCTTGATGTCTAATTGATTAAGCTACACCAACCCTGTGGGCACCATCTCCAACTCAGCACAGGTCTGTGATGGTGGTGTCACTGATGTTAGTGCCAGCATGCACCTTGCCACCCTTCACAGCTGCCCAGAGCATGGAGTCTGAGGTCCATTTTGCTACCTAGTCCCCTGTTCTGCTGACCAGGATGAGGCCCTCCAAGCCTTTGAGCCTCAACTTCATGTAGCCCAGCGCCAGCTCTGCAGCCTCTTCCACTGTCTTTCCTGGGAAGGAAGGGTTGGGAAGAGACATGGGTCAAGGTGGAACCTGACCAGAGGTGGGGCCAGGAAGGGGGAACACCCTGAGTAATGACTCCAGCAGAGAGACAGGTTCCTCCCACCTCCCCACCTGGCCATCCTGGCTTCTAACAGGTTTGGGCCTGGTCCTGCGCACCTTGTTCAGGTGGAAGATTGCCAGCCAGGCCAGGTTCACCTTCAGGATTTTCTCCCCTGGCCCCATGGTCGACATGGCTCCAGAGCAACTGTCAGCATAGCCTCCTGACCATGTCACAAAGGGGCTAGGTTCTAACTGAGCAGCAAAACCCAGGAGACCTAAAGTGAGTCCCAGTGCTGTGTAGTGGACCAGAGTCAGGTTCAGTGCCAAAACCTCCAGATGCCAGAGGAGGAGGAAGAAGCAGGAGGAAAACAATGTGCAGGTGGAATGGAGGACAGAAGCAGGGGACCTTTCACTGGGCAGCACCCAGGCCAGGCCACCTGTGCCTCAGGGTGGGTCATGCTGTTCCACCTGCACCTACAACACAGGACACCTGCCTGCCCTGCCTGGGTCACCAGCAAGGCCAGAACACCAAGAAAGATGGGGAAAGCTACCACCCATCATGACCAGGCAGGTCTGAGTGTCCCCAGTTCTCAAGTGTTCTGAACTGAGGCTTTTGGAAGGGGACTGGGTCATGAGGATCTAGGTCAAGGGGTTAGGGTTAGGGTTAGGGTTAGAGGTGAGCACAGAGGACAGCAGACAGCACAAGCCTGTGTTACTCCTGCCAGTCTCAGCTTTGTCCCTCCCCACTTTTACCAGAACTGCACCCAGACTTTCCTTGCAACCATCTGTACTTTCTTTTTCTTTATTTGTGTATAACAGAGGAAAAGATGGGAGTCAGTCCTTCAGCTTAAGAAGTGTGGAGAAGCACTCGTGCTTTAGAAACTTAAACTATCTTTAAACGTCCATTGTGCCCTCTCAGTTCCAAATAGCAATCTGCCCCACAGGTTAGGGTGGCAGAACACACACGCAATATGCCCACATTCACACTGCTTCTGCGGCCCACTTCATGGCTCCAGGTCCCAGGGAAGAGCTGCCTTCCAGCAAAAGTGGAAGGCATTTGGGTCCCCTAGATGTGACCACACCACCACTGTCATCTTAGGCAACATGTCAGAGGTGTAGCCCAGCAAGAGCTAAGCCAAAGGCGAAGCTTGTCTTGCCCACCTGTGTGACCTCCAAAATCAGTTGAAATTTCAATCAACTAAGAAAAAGTGAAGCTAAAGGGTTTGTTTGGGTTGTTCCTTAGAACAGTATGTGGAGATGAAACTGCACAAAAAGAAAACCCAGAAAAAATCAAGAAGAGGGTGTAAGACAGCATTCAAAGGAAGATCTCCATCTGCAGCTAAAGAACAGAAACCTGAAGAAAACTGAAGCGGCAGGTGAGAAGGAGGAAGACCAGGAAAACACAGAATTCACAAAGAAGTTCAAACTAAAGGGATAAAAAATCCAGTAAAGTTCGAGCAGTGTGGTGAGCTACAGAACCGCCACACAGGACAGGCCCAAAACTCCCTGGTGTTGTGAGTACAGGGTTTCTGTAATAACTCGGACCCCAGTATAAAATCCAAGGAAGCAAGAGACTGAAATTTGGGGAGCAAAGGCTTTATTTAGGCCAGACCTGGTGACGAGTCTCTGGGAGCCAATTTGGAGGCTGCATGCCAGAGACTGAAGGGAGGACTTTAAAAAAAGGCCAGAGGAAAAGGTGGGGGGGAGAAACAAAGAAACCCGCAGAGCCATCAAATTTGTTGACCCGAATCTGGAAACTGTATAGCTGTCCACTTAGTTCTGACAACCTTGGGAGCCTTTGGCGCCTCTCAAATTACTCCCATCCTGCAGATAAACATTATCTTAGAGTAGCACATCTGCAATAACACTTGGAGAAGAAAGTAGAAAGTTAATTATCTCAGAACAGCTTGTTAACACTAACAGGTGGGAAGGGGTTGAAAGTTAACAGAAGCTGAAACTTAAGTTTTCACAAGGATTTGGAACTTAACCCTTTTGGTGCATTAGGGTTAAGCCACAACATTTTCCTGTAATTTCTTTGAAGCTAAGCAGTTCTTAAAAACAGAGCAGGCTCGTTTTATGACAGACCACCACCGGGTCGGGAAGAGGTCACCAGAAACCCAAAATCTTTATGGCCTAGCCTAGATAGATAGGTAAGGGGAGAGGGGAGGCAATAAGGTGCACTACAGAACAGAAAATGGCGGTTATGTTTTTCTTTCTGTCTAGGGAGGGGGATCAAGGTCAGGTAAAGGGTTATGCTAATAAGCAAATCTTCCTGCACACAAGCTAGTTACTTCAAACAAGTGTAAATTAGAGGGCCATCCTAGTTTTCTTTAGCTCTTTAGCGAGAATAGAGGCGCCTAACAGTGATTAACAACACTTGTTAGTTCGTTTTAGCATCACTTCTGTTTTTTGTAGAGGGCAACTCTGGTTAACATATCAATTAGGTGAGATTTTGCAATTCTTTACAGAGGAGAGCATTGCTTAACATATCAATTAGGTCATCCAAAGGGAAAAGGAAAACACATACATAAGCCGTGTTACAGGTTTTGTTATAGTACACATAAACAAAGCTATTTTCTTAGAGTACAACAGTTTCCACCGCCTCTGCACTTCACTGTCCAAGGCAAGAACAGAGCCCTGCAAACCCAGCTTCACCCCGACCCACGTGCAAATCCTGCTGGGGATTCAGGCGGAAAACAAAATGCAGGCGGCACACTGGCTGTCTCTGACAGCTTTGACCTCCACTCCTGGGGCGCAGGCCTGCAATGCCCACTTCCTTGACATTCGGAAGTCCTCCACACTGCACCGGAAGGACCCAGCCCTGCTGTGCAGAACTTCTGGGATGAACAGGAAGGAGTTGGCGCCCCTCACCTCTCACAAAATAATAACGGACGCCTTTCTTCTGAGGAAGAACAATGCCTAAGTCATCCCTGGAGTGAAACAGCTCCCAGATGTGCTCGGTTGGACTCTGTGTTCTTCGGAGGAGGAGCAGGGCCAAGGCCATCAGCACCCCTGAGGAGCTCAACCCCTGGGCCCCTCCCTAACGTGAAACACGAGGTAAAGTTTGGCCTGAAACTCTGGATCCAGGGCCGAAGAAGGCCAGCTCTCCGGCAGCATCCCTTTAAGCAGAGACTTGTGCTAAAGAAATGAATAAACACAATACAGGAAGCCCACCCTACTGAGATTAGATGAGTTTGCTGTTGCAGAAGGATTGGCCGCCACGTGCTTCCAGAGGCTCAAACCCAGAGGTAGAGAGCTCATGTGGAAAGCCACTGCTCAGCGTCCTGCCCACAGGAGGTACTAGTGGGGGAAGACCAGGCTGTGACTAGAAGGGCTCCATGAATGATTCCTGACCAGGTCCCACCAGGTGGAGCCGACTGCTGTCAAGATGGTGTTTGGCTTCCTGGACAGGTCTGCGGAGGTTACAGTCCCACATTCTGCTTTTGCCCAGGGCCTGCTCCTTGCATATCCAGCCTCTCAGAAACTCATTAGGCCATGCATCTGAAGTGCATGGGAGTGAGGATGTCCCCTGCAGACAAAGGAGAAGTCTGTCTGCTCTTGCAGACAACAAGCAGCTTAAAGCAAATGCATGATAAAAATAATGTGGTTTCATTGTTTGATTGGCCAGATTTTTCATGCCTATATTTTGTAATCTTACCAACTATATTCCAGATAAAAATGCACAATATATTAACCAGTATTAATCTACTCTTATTGTATTTTGAAATTCTGAATCAGTGTTTTCTGTCTTTTTTTTTAAATAATGTTACTGGGGGAATAGTGGCACATGCCTCTAATCCCAGCACTTGGGAAGCTGAGGCAGGAGGATTGTTGCAAGTTGGAGACCAGTATGGGCTACAAAGTGAATTCAAGTCCAGCCTAAACTGCATAGCAAGACCCTGTGTCAAAAAAAAAAAGTTATTGTGTTCCTAAAAGAAAGGAAAAACAAATGAAACCAACTTAAAATTCAAAAAAAGTACTTTTTGAGGCCAAGGAAGTACCCCAGTAGCAGAAGCACCTCCCTGGTAAGTGCAAGGTTCTGAGTTCAATTGCCTGTAGAAAAAAAAGTACTTTACTGGAGATGGCTGTGGCAGTAGGTGAGATCCAGAACAGCACTAAAGCTAGGTGGGCATCTGAGTTACTGCTGCCCTCACAGAGTCAGGAACAGTCTGGACCCCTTACCAGCTTGGAACAGGAATCTTCCTTGGGCCTCTGTACCAGGCCCATTGCAACTGCCCCTGACCAGCCAGCCACAAAGTAATTATTTGAAAGCAACAGAGAAACAGAGGCAAATATCATTCAAATGTTCTCTGCATCCCCCCACCACCACCACAGAGGATGGACAGGAGGATCATAGGTTGCAAGTATTAGATGACCTTTCACAAGTTAACCCTTCTAGTATTAGATTTGTCAATTTCCATACACCAGATACTTGTCCCAAGGAAGAGTTTTACCTTCAAACCATTTTATGCCAATTCACAATTACTCAGAAAACATAGATTGCCTTATAGACATTAAGGCTGTTAAAAATAGTAAGTGATAAGGACATTGCTGCTGAACTCACTAACACCGTGAAAGGACAGTCCGGTGTGTAACTTTCTAGCTCTGGCAGAAAAATAATTTCATCTGTAAATTTAGATGCTTCCATTTGTGGCACTGAAAGTCCAAGAGATGGAAATGCACTAGCACAGCACAGATGAAATATTGGACAACCGGGCATGGTGGCTCACGTCTGTAATTCCAGCACTCAGGTGGCTGAGGCAGGAGGATCGTTGCAAGTTTGAGACCAGTCTGAGCTACAAAGTGAGCACATGGCCAGCCTGAACTGCATAGCGAGACCCTGTCTCAAAAAAAAAAAAAAAACAAAAAGAAAAAAAGAAATATTGGACTATTCCACCAACTCAAAAAACAGAATTAAGATATGTCATGTACAGGTGCAAGTTCCCTATGATGAATGTGATCATTGTATCTGTCTAAACTAGGTTAATGTAAAGAAATAAGCAGAGACAAAGGGTCTGTGGGCTAAACAACAAGGCCTTGCAAAGCAGTGAGAAGAATCTTTAAATTCAAGTACTGTTTCAAAGCTTTGAGGCTTGGTAAAAGTTGGCCAGTGATTCAGAAATCATTAGGAAAGAGCAAAGTAAAACTGAGGGGAAATGTCCTTTATTTACTTCTAAATGTGCTGAACGGTGCATGAATTCTAGTAAAGCTCAGATACTATTGAAGAAAATGGTTTTCACTCATTCCCAAAGCTCAAACATTG